CACACACACACACACACACACACACACACACACACAGTTCCTGACAATTTATGTTAGGAGAAGTTATGACTATCTCTACGGAACTTGCGCCAGTAATGATAATAATGCATGTCTTGAAATCAATGAATATTTTCTGTTTTCAACTACAAACCAAGTAAAACGAAAGGCTAACAAACAAGGAAACGAAGAGTAAAGCAGTGGCAATAAGAATTCAGTTTCTTAAGGACGACTGAGCGGAAACGCTTCACTGAATTGAAAAGCAAAATAATGACGTGTGACATCAAGCATTGCGAATGCAGTAAGGGAAACAATCGATAAATAGCCAAAGCATGAGCCAGCTTTTTAACATGTTGTTTCCCCTGAACTAAAACTGTCACAGCATATTAACTTGCATGATTGTGGATTCTGTTACATGTTTTAGTATTGCTTTCTTATTCTGCTTTAGAACTATCATAAACTTAATTTGATTCATCATCATCATCATCTTCGCTAACACCACCATTATGACCATCACCACCACCAACAACTACCACCACCACAACCACTACCACTAACAACACCACCACCAACAACAACACCACCACCACAACCACTATCAAAAACATCTCCACCAACCACCACTAACACTCCCACCACCACAACAACAACATCATCAACAACAACACCACCAACTACCACCCCAACAACAACAACATCACCACCAACAACACCACCAACAACAACTACTACCACCACCACCACCAACAACAACAACAACAACCACAACATCACCACCAACCACCACCACCACAACCAACAACAACACCGCCACCACCAACAACAACAACAGCACCCCCACCTCCAACCCCCAACCACCACCATCACCTCTCACCTTCTGAGGTCCGTGCGGGGGTGAGGCAGGCACGGGTGAAGGTCCGTGGGAAGACTTGGAAGACCGCGGAGAGAGAGTGTTGGGGGACGGGGAATCCCTGGCGTCTGTATACACGGGCAGCACCTGGAATGTCGAGGACACACGTACACATAGTGGGGTCAGAAAGGCACTGGCCAACGGTACTGAATAACAAAATTATTTATTTTAAATGTTTTACATATACAGACTTCAACATAAGTTAAGGACCACCTTGACAGACAGCCCTGATTTTTAAACAATCCAACAACAACAAAAAAGACAGCAAAGAACGTTTCAAAATTTGTTGCTCTGAAAGTGTTAATGGATTACCAATGCGCACTGCAAAGTTTCATTAAAGGGCAAAACCACTAAGCTACACAGAACTAAGCTAGGTATCTGTTCCCAAACTGAACCTTACACAGAACTAAGCTACACAGATCTAAGCTACACAGAACTAGGCTACACAGAACTAAGCTACACAGAACTAGGCTACACAGAACTAGGCTACACAGATCTAAGCTACACAGAACTAGGCTACACAGAACTAGGCTACACCGAACTAAGCTACGAGGGTATCTGTTGAGACCCACCTGGACCCTGTGCGGGTGTTGCTGGGGTTTATAGATGACCTCTGTTGGCCCGTACATGATACCCTCCGGTGGCCGGTAGGGGGCTTCCACTGGTTTGTAGATGATGTCTGGTTCGTTTCCTCGCCCACTGCCCACAGGCCCGTCAACCAGGGAGCTTCTGGGACTCGTCGGGGCTCTGAGAGGATGGGAGGAGTTATGTGAGGAGTGCTGACAAAATGAGTTATTTCTCTAAACCCATGGATGGAGACGTCAGCCGAAAATGGACACATCAATTTTGTAGATATTTAAGGGATGCCTTTTTTTCTTCAAGTTAAACATGTCTTTTATCATTTCATATAATAAGAAGGAAGGGGTGCAGGTGTATGGGGACAAGATCTTTCACAGACTTACCTTTCCTGGAAGGGGTGCAGGTGAATCGGTACAAGGCGCACGTTGGTTTCGTTGGGGTCCAGCTCTGGCTCGTGTGTAGCATATCCCAGGTACGGAGAGTTGGACAGCGGGTAGCCGCCCCAGTTCACGTGGATGTAATGTTTGCCTGGGGACGATTGTATGTATGTATATACTTCCTATATTATAACTTCCCCTTCCTCTCTTGGTTTGAAGATGATATATGTATGTATATATTATGTACGTACATATTTCCTTTATTCTAGCCTCACCCCCCTCTCTTGGTGTGAAGATGATTTATGTATGTATATATGAATGTATATATCTCTTATTTTCTAGCCTCACCTTCCTCTCTTGGTGTGAAGATGATATATGTATGTATATATGTATGTATATATGAATGTATATATCTCCTATATTCTAGCCTCACCTTCCTCTCTTGGAGTGAAGATGACCGAATGTTTCCCGTCGTTCCTCGCGTCAATGGCCACTGGTATCTTTCCGTTAGGACCTTGGACCTCGGAGGTGAGCTCGCCTGTCACAACAGAACAAATGGTTTACTATGGGATAGTACAATGGGACGGGATGGGATTTGAAAGGATGGAGTGGGATGGGATGGGATAGTACAATGGGATGATTTGGGACAGAAAACATGGTATACTATGGTAGAGTACAATGGGATGGGATTAGAAAGGATGGGGTGGGATGGGATGGGATTAGAGAAAATGAGGTGGGACAGAAAACATGGTATACTATGGTATATTACAATGGGATGGGATGGGATTAGAAAGGATTGGGTGGGATGGGATGGGATTAGAAAAAATGAGGTGGGACAGAAAGCATGGTATACTATGGTATATTACAATGGGATGGGATGGGATTAGAAAGGATTGGGTGGGATGGGGAGGGAATACATGTAGTGGTATAGAATGGATTGGTATGGTATGAGTATAGTAGGGCGGTGTCGGGTAGGTTAGGGTAGGGTAGGATAGGGTAGTGTGGGGTAGGGTAGGTTAGGGTAGGGTAGGATAGGGTAGTGTGGGGTAGGGTAGGGTAGGGTAGGTCTATCTCTCTCTCTCTCTCTCTCTCTCTCTCTCTC